AGGTAGAGTACTGGTAGAGTTAGAGCTCGTGTTAGGAGTAGAGTTGGTGTTAGGGTTAGGTTTAGGTTTAGAATATAAAAATTAAATAAAAATTATATACAATATTTTCATCCGGTACTGTCCTGATTCTGAATCGGGAAAATTCCAATCCGGGGTACAACATTATAGTTGAAAAATTGTTGACAACTATATACAGTATATTATAAAATTTACAAATCTTTCTTAATTTACCTTAGATTAATAGCTATATTCATCAGTTTCTGGGCTTGGCATGACAACATTAATTCATCAGTTTCTGGCTTGGCATGACAACTATTTTACTGTTTTTAAAAAATTTTTAATAGTGAACAGTAAAAAAATTTATACTTTGCACAAATTTATAATAGTGTTCTCATGAGAGCTCTGAGAACACTAATTTCGAACACTGGGTATGAATATCAAATTTGGGGGGTGCGAATATAAAATTTAAAAGAAAATTTGTTTATATAAAAAAAAATTTTTATTATAAAAAACTTGTTTAATTTACCTCCACCTTATAAAATATGCTTACCAGATCAAGCTTTCATTAGAAGATAGATGGTTCACGGGAACGATTTGATCCGGACTTTTAGGAACTTCTGGTTAAAAATCCAAGATTAGTCCAGATAGTCCAGATAATCATATATAAAAATGGCGTGTATCGGCGTTTCCGCCTTAAAATTCACTAATTGTTACTCCCCAATTGATAAATTAATTTTTTTTTACGCCAAAATTATATTAAATCGCTTGAGTTAGACCAATTGCACGAACTCGTCCCCTAACTAGTTCAAAGAATTGATTAATATTCCTAATAGCATGGCTGTATTTAAAAAATAAGACCGTTTTCATCTGGAGATTGTACCCGTCAAGAAAATCTCTACCCGGGTATTATTAAATTACCCGGTTATCCGGGTAATTTAAAAATGTCTACCTGGGTACAATCTCTAGCCATATCAATCGTTAATTAAAAATACGGCAAATTGAACTTGCGAATTTCACCGATATAGATATATTACGCACTTATATTGTGTGACTAACATCTGTTATCGTTATCTGTTATGTCGTAACTAGTACCTGGTACGTACGTACGTATGTACAATATATCTTACTTCTGTTATCAGATAGTAAACACGTTTTGATAAATTATATGCGTAAATCCATCGGGACCAATTTAAAAAAAAATTGCTATTATCCCTCTTGTAAGTATTTTCTGAAGCGAGTTTCTTAATAGTTTGAAATCTCAGAATTGTGAAATGTTTTTGCTCTCCAAAAAACATAAATTTTTAAAAATTTTGATGCTTATTTTTGTAATAAAATTCGCAAATTTCGTGTCCTCAAATTAGAACTTAATTTGTGTTCTCAAAAATATAGTTCTAGGGAATGCTAAGAACATTAGATATTTAACACTGGTCTCAATACCAGCTATTTGATGTTGTTTCCGAGAAAACGTTTGAAGACCTAATTAAACGTCGATTTTCTGAATGAATCTCGGACTTATTCCACGCTTTACTCGCGTTCGACTAGCTCATGAATTAAACAAAAAATCATGTATATACTTTAATTACTAATACAATAGAATAGAAAAATAGTCATTTAGATTATCTGAACATTCGTTTATTTATAATTGCTAATTCAACAATCATTTCAACGTAGATTTTAAAATTCCATTGGTAACTTTATGATAAATTCAATTTACTGACGTAACTTTAAAATTTCGTTTACGTTTGTATTAACACATTTTTAAAAGGTGGAACAATTTTAAGGATGCAAAAAAAATAATAATAATTAAAATCCATAAAAAGTACTTCGTAATTCCTTAAATTCTTTTTAATTCTAAATAAGGCTGAGTATATGTGGTGAAACAGCCCATTTTTACAATTTTTTAAAAAAATATATGTAAAAATGGGCTGTTTCTATTGAAATCACCCCATATGATTTAAACTGAATTATTATTCCATCGTAATAATTACGTCACTTTAACGTAACATCGGTAGTTTGTGAAAATTATATGTTTAGTGTAACTAAACAAATGAAAAAATTTACTCGCTTATCATAAATTCTGCGTACATGCATATGTATGTCATTTCCATACTTGAACAATCACATTGAGACAAGAATCTGCCTCGACGTTTTTTTTTAAATTATGTTTTGTATAAAAAACGGGTCATTTCCCCCAAATTCACCCATATCGATATATAATTCTTCGATTAAAAATTAGTCATCATGGTTGGTATGTGCTGTGATTGTGCCGCTGACTTTTGCGAGGTTATTCTTGCTATATTCCTTCCACCAGTCGCAGTCTTTCTTAAACGCGGTTGTAGTACGGACCTCCTTATTAATATTTTACTTACGTTACTTGGTTGGATTCCAGGTATGTTTATTCGCTCAACTAATAAGTATAACGAAATAAATAATTCTAATTATATACATTATTTTACTAATAGGCGTTATTCACGCGATGTGCGTTATTTGCATTTGAAAAAAAAAAGAATTTTCTAATTTACTTTCGAACTCGCAAAAAAGACCGGCGGATACTTTATGAATTTTTTTAGCATGAAGGATATAAACATTAATGAGCTAATTCGAATTAATGACAATATCTGTAACTGTTCTAAAAAGTCAACTAGCTTTTTAAAAAATACACACGTTACGTTAACTTAATTTCGTTCTTTAAGAGCGTCATATGGTAAACACCATAGTCGCAGCCAGGAAATATCAATATTTAATTATTTTACTATCATCAAATATGTTTGATGTAATAAATTTATTATTCTACCATGTAATTTTATGATACATATTATTAACTGTTTAATAATTGGTTTACCGTTTTATCTGACACCTGTAATTTTATTTTATCTTATTTTGTAAAGTATTCTTTAAATAATAAATTCCTTTATCAAAAGTAATTCAAATACTCCGACTGTAATAAGTGTTAAAATTTCGTCCCAAAATTAAGTTGCATTTACAAACAATACTGGCCAAATGTAGATTAAAATTGGCATAGTGCGGGCTGGTGATACTTTTTTTCGGGTGTGCTTAATTTCGAAACAGTAGCATATAACTTATTATGTATAAACCATATTACTGTTAATAGTATAAAATTTTAAATAAAATATATATAATATAAAAAAAAGATTTTTTTTAAACTAATTAATATTTTATTGAAGTCTTATTTTTACAGTATATTAGGTTTATTATATAGTATTCCTTAAAGCGTAAACAATTTCAAAAAATTTAAACCATTTTAATAAAAATTTTTTTGATAATATTTGAAAGTTTTGTAATTTAGTGCACTTGCACTCTATTGGCACAGGATGTCATTTATATACCAAAGGCATAACCAAATTATTTAAATCTGTAAATGCAAAAAAATTAATCCAGTTTATAACAAATTTAATAACATCTCTTAATTTATTCATTACCTTTTTTAAGTTGGGCCATCATTTATAATTATTTTCAAATTTGGGTTCCGATGTGTAAATTTCCCCAAAAAATAATTATTATATTCTTTATATTTATACATTTAATATTTTACAAAGATATACTTAAATTAGAAATATTAAAATTATTTAAAATTACAATTTAAAATATAAAAATAATTACTATAGATTTTAAATAATTTTATTAATTATAATTTAATATTTATTTAAAATATAGAACTTAATTAGGCATTGCATGTTGCAATGTGCTTATACATCGCATTTTAACAATTAACCAATTAAATTTGAAGATCAAGTATAATGTTTTCATGTAATTTTTTTTTTTTTTAAATTTGGCAGCCATGCCAAAACTTTATTAGGCATAAATTAACAAACTACACTGTCAACTAATTTTACCAAAACAATTGCTTTGGTCATCTAACTTACAAGTTTTGACTAACCTGGTTGTATCAAATGTGTATCTATGTTCGATCTGCTATAGTAGAATTTTATCTTCCTACTCATCTCTTCTATTATCAAAGAAAACAAATAGAATTTTGCAAACTTTTTTTTATTTAAAAGCTTTAGATTTAAATAATATTTTATATAATTTTTAGGTTTATAGCTTATTTATTTAGATCAATATAAAATTTCAAAAAGTGTCTATAATACCATGGTACCCCACTGTATATTGTTTTTTTTGTGGACATAAAATAGTAGCTTGGGAACATCCGCAACTTTAGCACTTTTTTCATAAGAACTAACTTATATTTAGATTTGAAAATTTCTAATACTGTTTATACCCATTTGATTTTCTCACTTTAAGCGAGATATCTCGACAACTACAAAACCAAATTCGATAAACTTTTTTTTTTTATTTGAATTCTATGAATCTTTAGATTCAAAAAAATTGAATTTGGCCTAGAAATTACTGATATACCTCTGCTCGAAGTTTTGAAAAACTTAACATTTAACAAAAATATTTGTGTCAAACTTTGAGCAAAGTATCTTGACAAACTCCAACTCAAATTTGAACTTTTTTATTTGAATTCTATAGATTTTTAAAATTTAATAAAAAAAAAAGTTCATCAAATTTGGGTTGGTTATTGTCGAGATTATAGATGAGCAATTGCAATTAATTTTGACCAGCACTAAGAAATAAAATCATAATTTTGGCCAAAACATGCATGCTTACAAAAAATGCACACACATATACATACTAGAAAAATTTTATATTTTTTTATCTCTAGTCAAGATATCTCTTGTTTAAAGTCCAGGAAAGTTTTGGTGCAAATTTTATTTTATAATCGTGGAGTTTTTTAAAACTTTAAACAAAGGTATCTCGACAACCACCAGGTCAAATTCAATAATTTTTTTTAATTCTGTAGTACAACCAAAAAATTCAAATTTAGCCTGGCGATTGTTGAGATTCCTTCACTCAAAGTTTAAAAAAATTTTTAGTTTACATAGAGTATGAAAGTTAAAATTGGGTACAAATATCAATTCACATTTTATAAATTTGAATTTAAAAAAAAAAATTTTGATAATTTAAATTTAAGAAATACTGTATTATTTTTTTGAATTATACAGTATTAAAATAATAAAT